TAAGGAATTTCGTTTGGAATCTCTGACAATTCAACCTGAAGTTGAAATCAAAGATGAAATTCCAGAAACCATTTCAAGGTCTGTCAAATCTCGATTAGGGCCACGTGTTCCCTGCCGAATGACATAAATTAACTGGGTTGAAGAAGAGCCTTTGTGAGCAAGTCTGGTGGATGAGTTTGTAGAAGAGCCAGAATGGGCAAAGATTTTAGATCCTGATTTTCAATCAGAGGTTCCTCCAATAGTCTTCCCTCCCATTCCAGAAGGCACGGCGTCTCATTTAAAGCCTCTGTACGTTAATGCTCATATTTGTGGGAAACCAATCACAAAGGTTTTTATTGATAACGGGGTTGTCTTCAATGTAATGCCATTAAAGACTCTCAAGAAGTTAGGAAAGAGAATTCACGATTTATCTCATGTGGATTTTGAGATGACTAGCTTTACGGGGCAGCCAACCAGACCGGAAGGCATGATGGTCGCCTCAATTGAAGTCGGTCCAAGAAAGATTTCCTCCGTTTTCTTTGTGGTGGACGTAGACACTACATATTCAATCTTACTTGGGCGAGACTGGATTCATGCATCTAAATGTGTGCCATCAACACTGCATCACCAATTAATGTTCTGGGAAGACAATCAGGTCTTCAAAATGAAAGAAAATGACAATCCGTTTGGAGCATCAGAACAAGTTGAAGAATCAATTTTTTATTCTGGTCATGTACCTTCAATGTCTCAGTTTTTTATGGCTAATGAATACCCAAAGAAGGGTTTTAAATTCATCGGCCAGAATTCAATGTTCTTGTAAAAGAACAGTTGTACTGTATGGCTCTTGAGAAAGCCAAACCTATTTTTATAATATATTTCTTATGGAATGTGCAGATTTACAGGATTGTAGTTTACTTATTAATCAGTATTATTTAGACCAGCTTTTGAAAAAAGTAGAAAAAAATAAAAAGATATATGATGTTCATTTCCAAGAAGATGAGCAATTTCGTTGGCCTGATTTATTAGATAAAACAGAGCCAGCTTTCTCAGCACAAAATCCTTTACTGGAATTCAACTTAGGAACCGACCTGGTTCCAAAAATAATCAGGATGAGTGGTTACTTGTCGGAAGAGCAACAAAAATTAATGCTCGAGGTTATAAGAAACAATATTGATTGTTTAGCTTAGGATTATTCAGAAATGCCCGGTTTAGAGTGAAGTTTGATAGAACATCAATTGCCCATTAAAAGGGATTTCAAGCCTTGCAAGCAATCTCCAAGTCGTATGAATTCTGATTTGATGCCACAAATCAAAAAAGAAATTCAGAAGCTTCTTAAAGTAGGTTTCATCCGACCTTGCCGTTATGCGGATTGGTTGGCCAATATTGTACCAGTGGTTAAGAAGAATGGGAAGATCAGGATATGCATCAATTTTAGAGATTTTAATATGGCCACTCCTAAAGATGAGTATGTGATGCCTATGACCGATACGTTAATTGACTCAGCAGCAGGGCACAAAATTCTCAGTTTGATGGATGGTTATGCAGGATATAACCAAATCTTTTTGGCAGAAGAAGACATTCACAAGATAGCATTTAGATGTCCAGGAGCTTTGGATATTTATGAGTGGACAGTTATGCCTTTTGGTTTGAAGAATGCTGGGGCGACCTATCAGAGGGCCATGAATTCGATTTTTCATGATCTCATTGGCAAGTCCATGGAAGTATATATTGATGATGTTATTGTCAAATCTTCTAGTTTCGAGGAACATTTGAAAGATCTTAAAGATGCTTTCAGTCGGATGAAGAAGTACAAATTAAAGATGAACCCGACCAAGTGTGCCTTCGGTATATCAGCCGGGAGTTTTTGGGATTTTTGGTTCATGAAAGGGGAATCGAGATTGATGCTAATAAAGCCAAGGCAATCCTTGCCAGCCGACCACCCAAGACGGTTAAGGAAATTCAAAGTCTTTTGGGGAAGGTAAATCATCTCAGGCGGTTCATTTCCAATGCTGCTGGCAAGGTCAGACCAATCACTAAATTATTGAAGGCAGGAGGAAGCGCCTTTGAATGGGGACCAGACCAACAGACAGCTTTAGAGGCTATATAGCAAGCATTGGCTCAACCACCTGTGTTGATGCCTCCCAAGGAAGGTCGGCCCCTCAAACTTTATTTGGCAAATGCCTATGAAGTGGTAAGTTGCTTACTAGCTCAAGATGGAGATGATGGAAAGGAAATGGCAATTTACTATTTGAGCAAGACTCTCACAGGACCAGAATTAAATTACACAATGCCACAGAAGATGTGTTATTTATTGGTGTTTGCATGCACCAAACTTGAACATTATATGTTACCCAGAAGAGTTGAGGTTATTTCAAAGATTGATCTCATCAAGTTAATTTTGCAAATACCTGCAATGCAGGGCAGACTTATGAAGTGGGCCATTAAATTAGCGCCTTTCAATTTGTATCATTCCCCTTTGAGGGTGGTCAAAGGCCAAGCAATAGCAGCTTTTTTGGCAGACTTTGCAGGTCGTGAGGAGCAACCGATTGGGTGTATTTCTTATGTAAGCACCCGAAATTGGTTAATGTTTTTTGATGATTCTACCTCAGGAAACAGATCGGACGCAGGTGTCTTGTTGGAAGGACCAAACGGCCAAAGGGTCAATTTGCAGTTGCAATTAGAAGCCATGACCCATAATTCAGCAGAATATGAGGCTTTAATCTTGGGATTGGAGGCTTTGATAGCCAGGAAAGTTCAGTCGGTTATCATAAAAGAGGATTCTCAGTTGGTGATTAACCAGGTAAACAAACAGTATGTTTGGAATTATCCCCACCTACGCAGGTACAAGGATTTGGTAGGTCGGTTGCTATCAAAGATCTCCGAAGTGATAATTGAGTTCATCCCTAGAAAAGAAAATCAATTTGCAGACGACTTAGCTCAAAAAGCTAGCAAGGGAATCTCAAAAGATATTTGTGCAGAGGTCGGTCCATAGACAGAAGCTGGAACCGACTGGAGGACAGAACTTGTCATGTATTTACAAGATCCAGGAGCAAATGTACCGATCGGAATTCGATTGGAAACTTTGCGATTTCAATTGGTAGAAGAAGTGCGATATAAAAGAACATTCGAAGGATTACTCTTGAAATGTTTGGGGCTCAAGCAGGCTTTGGAGGTGATGACAGAAGTGCACAGTGGAATTTGTGGAGCTCATCGGGCAGGTCTGAAATGAGATGGGCTATCCATCGTTTAGGTTTCTTTTGGCCAAAGATTTTTTTAAGACTGTATACAATTTGCCAAGGGTTTCCAAGAATGTCGGAGGCATGGGCAATTGAATCACCTGCCCGTCACAGAATTACAGACTATAGTAAAACCGTGGCCCGTTAAATCTTGGGCTATGGATATCATTGGTAAAATTCATCCTCCATCATCCAAACATCATTGTTTTATTTTGGTTGCAACAGATTATTTCACCAAATGGGTGGAGGCGGTTGCTTTGAAAAATGTGGATCAGAAGGAGGTGATCGATTTTGTGCTGAATCAGATCATATATAGGTATGGTATACCTCATTCAGTAACAACCGACCAAGGTTTGGTCTTTACTGGGGAGAAGTTTTTGAGTTTCTTGGAAGAGTTTGGTATTTGTCCGAATCATTCTTCGTCTTATTATCCCCAAGCTAATGGGCAGGCAGAAGCAGCTAACAAGATTATTATTGGGATTATAAAGAAAACGATTGAAGGGAACCCAAGAAAATGGCATTTGTTATTATCTCGAGCCTTGTGGGCGCATAGGAAAAACATAAATTCTGCCACAGGGTTTTCACCATATCAACTCACCTTTGGGCATGATGTTGTGTTGCCAGCTGAAGTTCAAGTTTCATCTGGACGTACAAGCTTTACTAATAATGAACTTACTGAGGAATATCAACAAATGATGTTGCAGCAATTGGAAAGTCTGGATGTCAACCGACTTCATGCAATTGATCAAATTGTAAAGCATAATGAGATCAGGGCTAAGACTTATAGAAAGAAAACTCTTACAGAAAATTCAAAGAAGGAGACCTGGTCTGGAAGACTATTCTTCCAACATATAAGAAGATTGATCAATTAGGAAAGTGGTCCCCGAATTAGGAGGGACCATACATAATTCAAAAGGAGATCGGAAATGGTGCCTTTATTATTATAAATCAAGAAGGTAAAAGGGTACACGACTGTATTAATGCTAAATATCTGAAGAGGTACTTTCCTGCCTTTTCAGATAGCAAGAAAGCATGAAATAGTAATTTTAATCAGAACCTGACCTCAAAGAGTTCGGACCCAAAAAGGGTTCACTCATCAGATGTTGAGTCGTGCGGAGAATTACTTTTTTCTGAGTCAGAATCTTCATTCCAGTGATTAGGGATTAATTCTGGTTCTTCATCAATAAGGTCCTCTAAGCTAGGTCGGTACTTCTCCCACTGATCTTGCACCTTCTCAAGATCATAGTCGGTGCGAGCTTTCATGTCTGTCACGGCTTGGCGCTCACGATCAACAAGAGTGCGTAATCTTGAAAAGACTGCACGATGATTGAAGAATGTATGATCCCAGCCAAGGTCTGGGAGAATGGCTGTCACATGGTGTTCAATCAAGTCCATGCGATGATCAATGTCGGGAAGGCGACTTTGTATATCTCGAAGGGTCTCATATCCTTCTAGCACATTTTCCATCAAGCGAATAACGCGATGAATGGTTTTTCTGCCGCATTTAGAAAATTTGAATTTGAAATCTAATTGTTTGAGTATGCATAGCAGGTCTTCGGCATGGCCCCCAACTGGATGATTACCCACGAAGAAGGGTTGAATAACACCTTGCCGGTTGTTTATAGGAACGTGAGGGCGATCGTGTGGCATTTTGGAGATCTACAAGCGTGCTCAAATTTCAGTTTGTGGCTAAGCGTATGTTTGTTGTTTTGCAAGGGACTACAAGCGTTTAAATAAGAGATGATGTTGGTGTTGTTCCCTGAAAGATAGGAATTTTGGAAAGCGATCCTTAATAAAAGGAGAAAAATTTATTTACTAAGTCAAGGTTTCCAAAATTTTACAAAAGAGATCCTAGAACAAGTTTAATCTGAGACTATTTGTCTTCTGTTCTGGAAAGTCGCCTGTTATTGGCAGCCGACTGATATTGCCTTATGAGTTTGGATCGGGCGTGAATCTTTAATTCCTGGTCCAGGTTGGCTGCATTGGTCTTGTACCGATCAATCAGGCGTTGCTCGTCGCTTATGTGGCCTTCCAGGACAGACTCTTCTTGATAAAGTGCCCTCAGTTCTGCTTCTTTTTGTTGGATTGATCCCTCTATTTTTGCCTTGGCATTGTTAAGGCCTTCTAGTCGGCCAGGCGCATGTTGAATAGATTCCTTGATTTTGGTCAAGGAAGCCTCCAGACTTATTTGGTCCAAGTCGGGCAAGGGTGCTCCAGTTGTCAGAATTTGAGCAAACAAAACTTCATTCCGAAGTTCAGATAGTCGCTCCATCAACTGGTGAAGAATGGAGGTAGCAGCCGACTCTGAAGACATGTGAAACAAAAGACCACCAATGGCTTGAAGGAGACTGTCAAGCAAGTCTGATCCCAGGTCGGGGAAAGATTGGTCAACAGCCTGTGCAATTATAGTACGGACGTCCGTCGGAATAGGGACAACCGACAAAAGGGCTAAATCAGAGCATCCCTGAAAGAATGAAGGTTTATTTCAGATTACATGAGGTACCAATATCAAGAATCAATTGTGAAGGTTGTACTTACCTCTGGACGGATTGTGGTCACTGAAGGTGCCAGTATGGCCATAGGTCTGGAAGGCTAAGCGACTGGTACTGCGATGGCCGACTCGTCGGCTGCTTCAAATGGACGTTGTGGTATGGATCTAGGTCCCTGAATGATGGAGATATAGTGATTTAAGGATCATGTAAATATTAACTTATAATTTGAAAGAGGGAATCGCAAATTTCTATCAGATTAACAGAGGTCTCTGATTCAGATGAAGGAATCTCTTGTAACTCTTGTAAGAGTCCCCTCGGTTGAACAGGCATAGGTTCGTCTGCCTGTCTGTTCGCTTCTGGAAGAGGGTCTGCTACCCTTGGGTCGGCTGCCTTTAGGACGGCTGCCCTCACGTCAGCTGCTCCTTGGTCGGGCGCTTATGGGGCGGCCGCGGCTGGTTCGTCGGGAGCGATTTGAATGGCCGCATCAGGGACATTTCTGTCTTTTGAAGCGACCACATCAGAGGTGTCTGCAGCAGAGGCGGATGCAGGTGTGGCCATTGACGCCATATGAGGCAAAGATAAGTCTGAAGCGACATAAGGTAATCTACCCATCTCTAAAGCAGTCGCCTCACTGGGGGATGAGACCCTTGTTGTTGCCCGTTCGGCGGATGAAGGCGTTTTCTTCGAGGCCCGGCGTTTGGTCGGGGGTTCAGGTTCGTGTAGTTGGTCGGTTGGTGGCTCCGCTGCTTTATTTGAGTTGGAAGCAGGTTGGGCGGTTGTCCTGGCTGGAGTTAGACTTGAATATAAAAATAAAGATTAATAATATGGTAAAGAAAGAATCAAGTTAAGGTGAGAATATGAGTTTATAACTGGACAAGGTCGAGTCTTGGGGGCCTGACCTAACGAGCAGTCTATCAGGGTCGGTTGATTGTTTCCAGAAATGGGAATAGCTTGAGTCTGAGGAGCTCTTCTTTTCCTCTGTGGAGTGCCCGACCCAGTACCCTGCGTGATTAATTTCCTTCGGGTGTTGGTCAGTGGGGTCGCCCCTATATCAGTGCAGGCTGGGGTCAAAGGATGCCCAGCAGGCGATCTTTGTCTGGAGCAGTTAAGGCCCAAGTAACCGACCACCATTCACGAAAGGATTCGGCTGAAGCTGGAGAGGCCCAGAAAGGAATGTAAGAGTTGGAACTTATATAACTGGCAAGTTGGGATACATAAGGAGCGATCAATTCAGGGATGACTCTTCTATCTGGACTTTAAATTATTAAATGTGGATAGGCAATGGGACCAGGCAAGCCTTGTTGGCATCCGAATTGGCATGTCAAAAACTGAGGTTGATAGCTGAAGGTATAAAACGCTTTGTGACCCTTCTTATTGATTTTCTTACTGACAAATAAGGACCTGGGCTTAAGAGCAGCATCCAGGAGAAGGAGTAAGTGGGATGAGGAAGTGGGTCTGGTTCGGACAAAGGTGAAGATACATGGAATGGCCAAAACAGGCCAGATGCATAACCAATATACCTCCTATGTACATAAAAATGGGAGTTATTACGACCATCGGCAAGAATGGCAGTTATAATAGGGTCGGACGCTTGGAGGTTGTTCCGACCTAAACAAAGTCGGTTAAGGGCTATTCTTAGAGATTTGTCAGGTGGTGGTGCAACAGGAGGGTGGCCGAGTTGAAACGCTTCAGGGAAATAAAGGCGGAACCACAATTCTAAAAACAAAAAAGGGCCTGACGCAGCGGTATCTAATTTTTTACCGTCCTTCTCTGTAAGGCGGGTGCTAACCCTGGATAATCCTTCAAAAAGATTGGCAAGGAAAAGAGTGCCCAGAGAGAAGAAACGACCAGAGGCTATATGTATGGCCAAGTCAAGATGAGAGGGAATGACACATTTCGAAGGGGAAACGATGACATACCTACAGAGCCAAAAGAGCAGGAAGGTTGTATGCTTTCGGTCGGTCACAGGGGTATCATCTGCTCCTTGTTGATCGCTTAAAAATTTGGTCCAGCCCCATTCTTTAATGCTAGCCAGAGACCAGCCTGGATGGTCTGCACTGGGTTCTTGTCCATCTAGGGCACCCATTACAAGGTCTTCTCCTACGATTGGCAAGTGAGCGATCATGGCCACATCCATGAGTGTGGGGCCAATGGGGGCTGTTGGAAGAAGGAAGGCGCAAATCTCAGAGTGCCAAAACGCCGACATTGCTAGAAGAACTTTCTCATGTAAATGACATGGGAGAGTAGACATGAATATGGCTTGGTCGATGTGTTGACTTTTCCATTGATCTTGAAAGTGTTCTGCGACCCTTTTGTACCAGGTGCAGTAGGGATCCTTGGGGTCCATCAGATGGGTTTTAATGTTATCATGAAGGCGGACTGCATTGTAGTTGGGATTGTTGACAGCTAGTAAGTTTCGGGCTTCCAGGACTTCTCTCATTCGATTGGAGTCTTCAGGAGTAGTGCAGTAGGGGCGAATAGTTGGAGTGAGCATTTTCGTCGCCACGAAAGTCGTTTCAGGGATTGATCCGTCGAAATGAAGGGCAAGAATGAATTGATTTGCCATGATTTGGGGTCGCAGAGATTGCGATTAACAAAGGCTAGTATTGAAGAAATGAGAGTTTTGTGGCACACAACGTGTTGCAATAACTTATCGCAGTTGCAGAGGCAATTCCTCAATGGGGTTGTGGTTTACGAACTTCCAAAACGGCGATTGAGAAATGGCGTTTGAAAGTCCGATGGCGGCGGGCAAGTTGTTACGTATGAAAATTAGAATTAGGTTAAAAAGCCCAAGTTAAAAGGAAAATTGGGCCTACAATTGAGTTGGTCGAAATGATCGAGGGGCATTGCGGAAAATCAGGTAAAACAGACGTATTTCTTTGGAAATAGCAGGTCGGAAGGTCCGCAGGTCGGAAGGTCCGCAGGTCGGAAGGTCCGTAGATTGGAAAGTCTGCAGATCTGAAAGTCCGCAGGTCGGAAGGTCCGTAGATCGGAAAGTCCGCAGGTCGGAAAGTCCGCGGGTGCGGCTGGACCAACAAGTCGGATGGTCTGTAAGTCGGGAGGTTTGCGGCTGGACCAACAAGTCGAGTGGTCTGTAAGTCGGGAGGTTTGCAGCTGGACCAATAAGTCGGGTGATTTGTAGGGCGGAAGAGCTGCGGTCAGACCAACAAGGCGGAAGGCCTGCGGTCGGTCCAAGAAGTCGGAAGATTTGTGGTTGGATAGGCAAATCGGTTAGTGTGAAAGTCGGATACTGTTGAAAGCGAGTGAGAGTAAGAATTCAGTCAGCTGAGGACACGTGTCAGCAGAAGAAGAGTTGGCAGACGGTTGGAAAAGAGGCGTTGTAACCGTTCGGACGACGGTTTCCAATACCATTTCTAAAAAGTATTTAAGGATTGAGATGTGCAACTGACAAAGAATCTTCAATCATCTTCAAACGACATCAAAGTCAAGAGATTCGGGGATCATCATTTAGATTTCCAGTATTTTAATTTCCAATTAATTTTCTGTACCGTACAGTGTTTAGAGATTTCTAATCTCAGACGCTAAATATATCAAATTCGAAGATAATTTCCTATTTTCGAATTTTACTTTTTTATTGTTGAAAAAATACAACAACTACCCACTTAAATTTTTATGCTGAACTCAAATATTGTGCAGTATTTGAGATGGAGTGAGTATATAAATTCGGAAGTGTAAAAATTATTTACAATGCATATTTTGTGAAAAAAAAAAAATAAACATATATTTGATTGATAGAGAAAGTATTTACTAAAGTGGCTTTTATCAAATGTCTAATACTTCGTCATCCCATATAAAATATCTCTATTTTTTATTTTTATCTAAAGAATTTATTTATTTCTTTTAAATATGATTATAAACTTTAATCATCTTCTAAATTTAATGATTTACAATATTTTTAATTTTAATTAAATTATTTAATTATCATAATTTTAATTTAATCTATAATTATAGATAAAATTTTGGTATCAACTGGACAATTTGATTGGGGACGGAAAAGAGTATTTCATTTTGAAATATCATACCCAAAATCAAGTGATGGATAGACTAAGGAATAACTTAAATAACAGAAACTGCTTCCTAAGAAAGGACTCTTGAAAATTAATGGTAGAATTGACTAAAACCTAAGTTTGGTTTCAAATTTTTTTTATTTAAATTTGATATTAAAATAATATCAAAGAAATAAATAGTAAAGAAATACAAAAAAGAAAAAAAAAATTATTTAAAGCAGAAAAGCCATTGGCTTAATTTATTTTTACTTATAACTTCATATTTCTATTTCTGCTAAACAAGCAAATATATTTATGCACATATAAATTTTCTTATTTTTTATAAACTAATTTATAGTAGAAGTTTCAAAGCCATCAAAATATAATTTAAATTGATTTTAATCAGATATATCATAATTTAACCTACAAACAATTCTCATTTTACTCAAACGATGAAACCAAACTTCAAACCACAACTACCAACTTACAACCAAATGCACAGTAAGTACCAGTTTACCTGTATTTTTTAACTTTAATTTTACATCACTCATTTAATATATTATTCAAAATATTATAAACAAAACATATTTCTCATTCAAAATATTACATCTCCATATCAAAGACCTATTTATATTAAACCTTTTTGTTCTCTTCCCCAAACAACTCAAAATATTTACAAAACATGGCCATATTCACACCACCAAGTTATTATTAATAATCTAAAGCTCTGTTTGCACGTATATTTTTGGAATTTTTGGCACTATTTCTACTGTAACTTTTCCAAAGACACAACATTAAATATATTTTATCTCACAAAACATCACAGCAAATACTGAGTTTTTACTATTTACAAAAAAAAAAAATTAAGACTCGGCATCCACAACAAAAACAATAACAATAATAAAAGGGTAAAACGAACATGTATTTAAATACTAGATCTGGACAAATTATGTGAGGGGCTCCATGAGGTACAAACCAGACAAGAAGATTGTTCAATATGCGATAATGAGAACAAACAGTATAGTGTATTAGCTAGCAAGCGGCCTCCCTCGTTAACACTAGCACACTACACAAGGGATGGATCATAGGCATACATAAATGAATTCATTAGAATAGAAGAAGATAAACAGTGGGGGGAGTTCTTTCCTCGATTAACAAAAATAATAATAATAAGAGATGGGAACACACCCATTTTCCCAGTACTTCAGCACATAATTGGAACAATCAATTGAACACAACATTTTGAACATT